AATATGTGCTAGTGTTATTATTAAAATCTTGTATTTCTTTCTTTGACTAGATTGTAAGCTCTTAGAAGATATGGACTGAGTCATATTTGGTTCTTCTCTATCTTCTGGAACATAGAAGACAGCGATAAAAGTTGATTAAACATAACTGAACTGAAATTTCTAATGAGATTTATCTCCCAAGCACTGAACACATTTGTATAATTTTACTAAATACCCCCTCCTGGATAATCCACATATTCTTTGTTTTGCCTATCTACCTATCAAACTTGCTCCTTGTATATTACAAATCTTTTATTTTTTATTTTTATGTTTTGGTGGCTGGCTGGTACAGGAATTAAATCCTGGAACAAATCTTTCTTAGTGTTACCTGTTGAAATGCCCTTTCCTCTAAAGCTGGTGAACTCCTCTTGACTTTAAAAACCCTGGGTGTTGTAAGAAAACTTTCTAAATACCCCCAAAAGAATTAATCACTTCTTCCTCTGCACTACCTCTGAACTTTTACACCATTCTACTCTTGCATTTAGAGCACAGTATTATAATTATTTCTTTATATGCTTGGTCCATAGTATAATTACAGTAGTTGATAAGGGCTTTGATAGATGCATGATGAGAGCATAGGAAAGCATCTGACCTGCTTGGAGGGTGTCATTATTGGGTAAATCAATGCAGAGCAGAGGGTGCCTAGTCCACCCACTTTAAGTTCTGATAGGGAAACTGAGGTCTCAAAAATCTGAGTCTTGGGGCCGGCCCAGTGGCGCACTGCTACAGTGCGTCGCTTGGGAGTGTGGCTGCGCTCCCGCCGAGGGTTCGGATCCCACATACAGACCGGCCGCTCACTGGCTGAGCGAGGTGCGGGCGCGACGCCGAGGGTTGCGATCCCGTTGCCGGTCCCGGTCCGGTACGGGTGCGACACTGAGGGTTGCAATCCGTTGCCGGTCACGAAAAAAAAAGACAAAAAGGAAAAAAAAAAAAAAAATCTGAGTCTTGGTTTCTGCCCCCCATCTGTAAAATGTTTGGTGACGTGTGATCTGTGAGTCATAAACTATCAATTATTTTGTAAGTAATGAGTATGAAATTTTATAGACACAATCACACTTTCATGACTCTCTACTTTCTGAAGGAGATAACGTTTTGATAGGGTTTCAGTGAACTGCAAGGAAAAATAGCTCCCAAAGTTATTAGGGTGTTATGGAACAGACTTGACAAAGAAGTGGTCAGAACTCAGAGAGTTGGAGAGTCAGGTATTTTATTATACCGGCAGACAAGCTAGCTCTCCAAGCTCTGAGCCCTGAGTTTAGGTCTTACCGGGTTTATATAGGCAAACCCCTTCAGGTTTTAGGTTTCACATTCTCAGCATTCATGTAGCTAGTACAGTAATATATTTCATTTCTCAGCATTCATGTAGCTATTGTGATAAGCAAGCTCAGTTTACAGAAGTGGGAGTGCAGAGCAGTTGATTGGCAGTAAAGCTGATACAATAAGCAGGTTCTGTTTTAAAGGCAAAACAAGCTACTGAAAGAATTAATTTTGAATTTTTCCAACAAGGGGTCCCTGAGAGTCAAACTGAAAGGAATTCGGTTATTGGAAACACAGTAATTTATTTGCATCCTATGGATGCTTTCTTCATTAAATATACAGAGGGCAGACAATTCAACTCAGTACAATTCAAAAAACATTTATTGTCTGTGTTCTATGGTGCACTTGCTGGGATGGATGCATTATGGGACACTCAGAAGAGGTGGCTTTCGTGGGAGTCCCTGAAGTCTCTACCTCCTGTGACAGCTGTTTATGTAGAACTTAAGGGAATTTAAACCTTAAAGCTGCAAAAATCCTCTGTCCACAGAATGATGATGCTGACCTGAACCTCTTAACTTCTTTCTCTATAAAGGATGGTGAACAGCTCCCCTTGGAGGGCTAGCCTTTCTGTAGTTAACCCCTTTATAAATAAGTCTATCTCCTCTTCTAATAAAGCGTTGCTTGCTTTAAAAAAAAAAAGCCTCTGTCCTAAACGTAAGGTGGGATTCTGTTGGAGATTTTCACAGGTGGGAAAACAATCTCTCAATTTATGCTCTGTTGATGGCAAGCAATTAAGCAGTCATCTCCCCTAGGAGCATATTCAAATGAGGAAGTTCTCAGTCCAAATACACACGTAAATAAACTGTTCACTGGGGGTCCAATAGTATTTGAAACTAGTAAAGTTCCCAAGGTAAGGCTGACAGAAGAAACATTCATGTACTCTTCACTCCAAGATGCCATGTCCAGAGAAATTATGTGGTCCATTGGAATAGATCCTGGACTTGGAGCCAGGGGTATAGTTCAAGGGTCAGCTCTGCCACTCTTGGTTTGATGACTTTAGGAAACTCATTTAACTCCGGGGTGGAGGCTGGCTGGTTGGCTGAGTTGGTTTGAACATGGTGTTGGTAACACCAGGGACATAGGGTCATGGGTGCAGATCCCCATATCTGCCAGCCACCAAAAAAAAGATAAATAGAAAAAAATTTCAGGGCTGGCAGTTTAGTTCATTTGGTTATTGTGCCACCTGGTAATACCAAGGTCAAGGGTTCAGATCCCTGTATTGGCCAGCCACCCAAGAAAAAAACAAAAGAAATTAAAAACTCCCTGAGTCTTGGTTTCTCCATCTGTGAAGTGGGCATACTTGTTCTAGCCACAGGGTTTTTGTGAAGATCAAAGGACATGTAAATGTGTTTATAAACTTCAGGGTTGACATGGTAATCACAATAAACAGAGTATGTAGGAGATGAGAAGGAAGGAAATTAACACTGTTAAATCCAAGTGTTGTGTCTGATGTTTGTGTCTGTGAGGAAAGAAAAATTGCTTTCTTACTGCCTTATGAAACTAAAACATATATATTAATGTATATCTGAACATGAATTTTAGAGGAATATATAAGAATGACATAGGAATATACCTGGTTATACACAGCAATGCAGAAGCAGAAAATAAAAATTTTTTAAAATGAAATTAAATCTTCTGTATGTCAAGTACTGTTACCACTCAATTTTTAATATTTTAGCAAAACTTTATAAAGTACATGATCTAGTAGAACTGAAGGATCATGAGGACCTTGTTCAGAGTGTATGTGTGCAATTTAATTGAAATTGTCTTAATAACATGGAAGTTACAAATGTCAGAAAACCAAGAAAAACTGTTTTATTCATAAGTATTTTAATTTTTTGTTGAATAGTCTATTAGTAAGATATACTCTTTAAAAATAATAAAAACTAGGAATATGATTCTATTCCAAGTTAGAAGTAGTCATATGGAGTTAAAAACTAACAATAGCTAAGATTATGTTTAGCAGTAAAGAAGAACTTTAGGCTGGTTTTTAAAGATTAATTTGCTAATTAAGTGAACATCTGGGTTTTGGTTCATCACTTCCCTTGGAAACCTTGATTAATTTATGAGATTTTTTATCCCATTTACTAAAAAAGCAATGAGTCATCTAGTGTTACACACCAATGACAGCAAAAGTTAATTGGATTCTAGATCCTTTCACGTTTCTCCCTTTAGCAATTCCTTGCAGCTTTGAGAGGAACCACGTGATGAGGGGGTCCATGTTTTTGTGTGTGTGTGTGAGAGAGATACGGAAATGAGAGGAATTACAAGTAATTGAAAAGTGAGTTTGCAAATAACAAGAATATATATGACAGCACTTCAAAAAGTTCGTGAAAGAATGGAATTAAAAGATAATACGAATCTTTCCATGCACTTCCTCTCATATTTTTATTTTCTTTGGTTTGTGGTGAGAAACTCTGGAGGGACACACAAAAATAGCCAAACTGAAAACCAAATGCAAAAACTAATAAACATAGTTATCTTGTTGTATACTTTTTATAGGATTTTGATTTGTGAATCATGAGAGTGTATTGCTACCTTTTCAAGAAAGACTGTGGGTTAAAGTGTTTCAGGGGTAGGTTTAGGAAAGGGAAGGCAGAGATGCAGCCTTAGTTTGTTGTAGTGTCTGCCCTCCAAATAAGAGGTGCGTCAGCAAAGAGAACAGCCCCCGGGAAGGTGAGGACCTGCGAATGAAAAAGGAGGGGAGAGGTGGATGGAGCTGGGGTGGACGGTGACTGTGAAAACTGACCTGCTCTCTCCTGGTCCTGCAATGGGATTGCAACCTTTCTTTGACTCTGACACTGACAAATTGCATTCAGCTTAGAAACCCCTCCTTGGATACACACTTGTATATGCCACATGATCTCGGTGGTGTAAAACAATACCCACAGATGAAGGGGAATTCACCACACTGATGATTAACCTCATTTCTGCTTTCACTTTGCCTCTCACTGTTCTTTCTTCCTGTTTTCCTTATCAACTTTATTTTTTGAGGCTTTTTTTTTATCTTGTTCTATTTTTGCATTTTTATGAGATACCACAAATCCTTTTTGGAACTGGAAGGAGTATGAATAAACATATATGTAACGAATCTAGGAAAAAGCTAACCACAGGTTATTTCTGAGAGGTGAGATTATAAGTGGTTTTAATTGTCTTATAGAGGGTCTTCTGCATTTTCAAGTACTGTCTTTTTACAATGGGCATGAATTCTTTTTCTAATCAGATAAAGTAGTTTTTAAACTAAATGCAGAAGAAAATATTTGTGGTAGGACTGATTGACTTTTCCAACAGAAAAATATATGTGGCAGAGAAAGAAGACCAGGAAGGATTATAACACCAAGGTTAAGCATTCAGATCCCCGTCATGGGACTTAGTTTTGATTTTCTTTTCACCCTCTGTGTCTATGAAAATATGGGAGGGACAGTGTAAACATAGTGGTTTGCTTGAAACATTTTTAAAAAGAAATTCTTTTTTTCTCAATTTATTTTCTTCTGTATAAAATGGTAGGCCACAAGAGAGCAACATTCTTACTTTAATAGTTCGCTATAATCCACACTCTATTGCACATTGGGAAATAAGGATAAAAAATCGAATTCTACAATATGTAATATTTTTACTCTGCAAGACAAAAAATCAAGGCCACATACAAGCAAAAAGGGAATAATTTATTTGAATCCATCTTTCCCTGAACAAAAATAAAAATAAGACTTTAATAAGTCATTTCCTTAAGTGTTTACAAGTCTTTTCAAAAACACCATTGGTGACTGACAACAAGGAGAAGGCACAGTCTGCTTGTTGTGAGAACCATCCTTATTATTTTGTGGTACAAATAACAAGAAAAATTTGGGGGAATAAAATTAAAAAAAAAAGAACTTAGCAATCTTAACAGTAATGGGAATTTAATAAAACAAAGCCTGCTGAAAAATGTACAAATATAGTTTCCACACTTGTAGGTGCGATAGGATAGTGTTAATGTTGTTGGAAGTGAAAGTATAGATTAGAATTAATTGGGCTTTTAAGAGAAATTTGATATAAAAAGAGCGATTGAAAAGGCACATTCTTTTCTCTCTCGCAGTCAGCACAATAGACTGTCCACTGAGGAATATTTCCCATGACGTTGCTCTGTAGCACAACACATTATATGTATGCTGGAAAACTTGCAGTCCAGTTTGTATAATGCCTCTACTCTGCATTTAAAAGAAGTAACGAATAAGAGGTACTGGGCTTGATTTCTTCACTGATTCCAGATGAATATGCATTTTCACTGTTTTTCCTCAAAATGTTCCATCATTATTTCACTCCAATGTACTGCTTTGCCCATGAACACTCACCTGGAAAAGAGAGATACGAGATAGGTAAACTGTTCTATAGATTTTCAGGCCTACAGGTAGAAGAAACATATTATTTTATTCCTTTCCATGGCTGCAAATAATGAATGTTTTGAGGTAGTTCAAGAAAATTACATTTATCAACCAATAAATATAAAGAGTAAGCAAATGTTAAATTCTGTAGATAATTTCCTTTTGAAACTATAGGCTTACTTCCTTGAATGTCTTACATTAACACTCAGCTTTGGGTTTAAAACAAATCATGCCAAGCATATTTAAGGAGGTCAACAGACAGCATTTAAATAAATGCAGTCATAAGTTCAATAAACAAGTAATTGGGCTGAGTACTAGAACATGAACACAGACCAGTTTACTGGTTTGTTAAACACCAGTCCAATTAGGTAATAGACACATGTAGTTAAGGAAATAACACTGTTAGAATAGTCTGAGAGTCAAAAAATGAAGTTGTTTGGCTGTCTTTTCTACCTCAGAAGCAACTGTCAAATAAAGATAAAAGAAAGCTGTAAGTTAGGATTCTTTGACCAAAACCAGAACGTTCACTTCGTGAATGGAGGATGGGAGAGATTCACTAACCACCTGTAATACTGCATTATTCATGAAATTAATCTTTGAATTTATTTGGACCTAGAGAATAAAACCATAGGTAATCAGGAGAGAAAAATGGTATCTGCATCTATAGGCAGTATTTATTTTATTGAGTAGTTTTTATTTTACCAGGTATCACCAGTCTTTAGTTAAAACAAGCAAACAGGAGCCCACTAAACTAAGAAATCCTTAAAGACCGAGTCTTGGTTAACCTCTCTTCCTAGCACATAGTAAATGTCCTGGAAATATTTGTGGATTGATGATAAAGAAAATAAATGCAAAACAGTTTCTGATAAAAAAAAAAGAAAACATTCTACTTATTTGTTTTTAAAATTTAGAATAGGAAATGGAAATCCTTATTCAAAGAAAATAACACTTTTAAAAATGTTATCTCTCCCATTTGGATGAGTTGGAAGACAGGACGAAAATTTTAAAAAAGGATATTAGAGAGAAGGGAGACAGTGTCACAGAGAAAGAGAGGAAAAGTGAAGGGCAGACTCAGAAGAGGAAGAACTCGAAGGATGATGATAGGGAAGAGAGAGTGAGCCACTGAAAGACAAAGACACACACAGAGAAACAAAAAAAGAGTCAGAAGACAGGGAAGAAGGAGGTGAGAAGAGAGAAGCCATGCATGGGAGCTGGGATGTCACTCAGTTTGGGACTAGGATCCTGAGTGGGTGTCCTGGAGTCCTGCCTTTTGAAGGAGTATGTCCTCGGTAGAAGTTGTGAATAGTCCTTTATAGGCTTGAAGATGGGCACTTCTGCTTTATTTCAACCTTCAAATTTTATTTTTGAAATACTCTTTTATATTTTCAAGAAATTCTAAAGATTTTGTTAATGTCCAAAAGTTTTAGTTTAGAAGGTGATTTTTTTTTTTTTTTAGAGAATTGGTTTTTTGACATGTAAAAACAAACCAATCACTTTATTTTTTGTTCTGAAAGTGTAGCTGCCATATTCACAATTTCAACTCAGATTTATTTCATTCTTGGGAAACTTAAAAGATAAACCTCAAGTTTTTATTTGATTTTACTGTATTCTAGAGGGAAAAAATAGATATTTAGAACAAAGGATATATTTTAAAAAATGAACTTAAATAGGATAATATTTTAGTGGGATTAAATCTCAGAAAGCAGACATACATATCGTGAAAATTCTTTCTGTACCTTATATTTAACAAAGAGAAATATCCCCTAATTTCCTATTCTAGAAAGAAAAGAGTTGGTTAAGTATCATTTTAGAGAGATTTTATTTTTATACTGTCATGGAATAACACCCCACTCCCGGGTTCTACTAAATTAATAATATAATGCTTTAAACCAATTTTCTTCTTTATTCAAACCAGTAGTTCCTAGCTCCTTCAGGGTCTAGGTAAATTTTCTCTGAAGGGGTCCTCTGAAGTGTCTTGCCACTTATTTAGCCCTTAAATGACTGCATAGTCTCCCCAGGATTGGTCTCCTCCTCATAAGATGATTTCCCATGCATTTGTTCACTCCTAGATGTTAATTCTGCTGTTTACCGAGAGGTGTGCATGAATTGTTTTGCTGGAACTGTTTCTTTTGCCAGAGGGGAAGTTCTTGCAAGTGGTTATTGATGTTCTTTTCAAAGTCAATAAATGACAAATAAAGAAATGATGTAAGATGATTTGTGGCAGTTATGCCTGCAGGTAACTACAGCCCACAAAAAAAGAGAAGTTCATTTTGTTATTTCAGAAGACTTTAGACTTAGTTTCTCCATGGCAGGAAGGGAGAGAGACTCTTTAAGTGGTAGCCTTGAGCTTAACTGGATAAGTAGTTTCTTGGCTTTGGCCTCAACACAGGCTTTGTCCTCTCTGGGTGAGAGGTCAGTCCTCACTGTGGTTCTACTCACTTGGGAATAGACTGTTGTGAATTGTAAGAGGTTGGGTATTTGATGCTGCTTGTTCTGGGGACCTTCTGGAAGCTTTTTTTTTTTTTTTCTGGTCCTATTTTTAGTGACAGATCATCATGGCTCTAAAACTACTACAGCCACTGGAAAATCATTAAGATAACCAAGATGGCTTGAGAGCTTCCACACCTAGACATGCAGTCTTTGAGGGGATACTCAAAGATTGAGGGGGAGAAATGTACACAACAGCTGACTCTAGAACTCTGTACCTAGCCCACCGGCCCACGTGCGTGGTCCCAGAAAATATTTGTGTGTTTGCCTGTTTTATTCCTCAAATTTATTTTCAGGTTGAGAAGTGTGTTTAGATATACAGAAACTGTAATTTCCTGTTTTAATATATTTCTCCTGAGCTTTTCAATAAATTCCGGGGAAAGCAGAGGCTGAACACCTAGCCCCTCCATAGCACCACCAGATGCAAATTCATACTTACTCTGGATAGTCTTGCTGTTGCGCAGGGATGTGCTGAATAACTTCGTAAATTGTACTGTGCAAACCTTGCCCTGATATACCATCGGAGGCTGGAACAGACCTACTCGGCCCCTACAAAATGTGGCACATTAATAGAAATTAGTACAAGACCAGTAAGTAGTATTTCCACTATCTTGCATAGTGGAAAACAACTGGCAGTAGTGATAATTAGAGAATTAGAATTGTTTATTGTCCCTAGAATGTTCATTTCCTTCTTGTTACAGTTTCCTGCACTGAAAGGTCAGAAGGGGAAGAGCTTGACAAAGCTATCACTTTTTTTCTTCAATTAAGAGGAAAGCTGGCAGTACTGTAAAGGTAATGTAATAGAAAGAAAAACAGTGAAAGAGGAGATATCAGGACAGCTTAGAAATCAGAGCATATATTATTATCTTTTAAATTACATTTCAATTATTATAAATACTATTTGCCAATTATGTGCATGAGGGGGCTTAAAAGGAAGACTGTATCACATTGCAAATGAGTAAAAACAGTACCAAGAAATATAGAATACACAAACGGACATACTTGGGTTTGAAAGTAGTAATGGGCTGTAAAGTCTAAAGACTTGGATGAATGTGGAAAGAATGGTAGTGTATTTATGTTTGGTAAAAACAAGCATGTACTTTATTGAAACTGGCATTTGTGTTTTAATTCCTATTCCTTATATTTTATAATTTCCTTCTGCCTGTAAACACTTCCTTCCAGTTATTCAGCAAAAGTCTAGTTCTCCTTCCCACTCCAAATGCTTCCTATTTTCATCATGTTTCTGCCCATTTCATATTTATGTAGCTCTGCCTAGGGACTCTGCCCTTTGTAAGTCTGAAGAGTTCTCTATCTCATACAATTTGATGTTATATTGGAACATCCTATCTTTATGTTTTTCTGGAAACCACCTGTTTCCATTCCATTTGCTGAAGCTCTTACGGGCAGCCCTAGTATGCAGTCTGTCCTATAACTTTTGTGTGAGATTTTGGTTTATAGTTTGTACTGGAGATCTACTCTTGATTTTCTTTGGTATGGAGGTGCTATGGTAAAAGCAGTCTATAGATATTCACTAACTTACTCACCTAAGCTAATATTAGAGCTGTTAAATAATAAACTTGTTCATTTAATGCAATTGTCTTCTGTCTGACTCCTGAAAGAGGTACTAAATGGACAGTGAAATGTACAAGAGGTACAGAGAGAAGTATTCCATTTGTACAGGTACCACAACAAGCCAAGGGATTATTTCAGTTTTTAAAAACTCAAAAAGTTAGTAATTTATATCTCTTCTTAACTTTACTTTTGAGATCTTGTTTTATTATTTTCCTTTTCTTCTCAAGGCCATTGCATTTGGTTGCTAATCTTCCTACATAACTGCCACTCTGGCTTCTTCTCAGGTAGATTATCCTCATGAATTCATCTTCTTCCTCCTCCTTTGGTTGCTGGTTTTGATTTCTCACTTCTTCCTCAAAGCACCTGGCATTGCCAATTAGGAACCTCGGCAGATTTCTCGGGAGTTTTCAGCTTTGAAGGTGAGCGTGGTTCCAATTTAAGTTAATCTGTTTATAAAGCACCCATTTCACTGCTTCAAGTTCTTGAGGACTGCAGCATTTTGAATCAATAGAAGTCCTCCCAATAAAACCTCAAAACTGAGTATTGATTAATCCCAAGGCTAAATTTAAAGTTGCTTACATAAATCTCACTCCTGTCCAAGGAATTCCTAGGAATAAAAAGTGTGCATTATTTTAAATAAGGAAACTCCTTACTTCAAAAATTCAATTATAAGTCTTCTTAGCTCTTCAGCTTCTTGGTCTTGCATTTGAAGCCATACCTTAGAGCAGGGCTTTCTGCGATGGTGAGAAGCCATTTGAAATAATTGATCCACCAAATTTTTATTTTTGTCTTTTTGATTGTGGAAGTGAAGGGTGAGCTAATTCTCCCTAAGACTGACTAGACTGCAAAGACTTTGCAGGGCAGTCTTCCCTTCATCTGTGACAATGTGGGTGCTGGTGCTACTGACTCACCCTTAGGGAGGATGAAATCCCAATCAATCTCTCTGTTACTCACCTGGCACTTCTGAAATAAAGTCTGTGGCCAGGAAACTTACTGGATGAACCTTTCACATTGATAGAATGCTCTGAACAAGTGGAGTAACCATTCCCTAATGGCAAATAGTTCTTTTTAAAAACGGAAGTGAGGATGCCCAGAATCAGGTAATCCATTTATGGCCTCTTCCTTAAGTAGACCATCATAGGGAAATAAGGAAAGTAGGGGAGAAATTGGTCCTAAAGAGATCTATTGTTAATGAGCTGATTAGCTCAGGAAAACTTCCTGCATGTCTGTTAAACAATATTGATTGCTTTAAAAGACCTTTTAATTTTTTTTGGCAGACTGAAAAAATGGCTTCAACTGTATAAAAGTTCCCTCCCCCTCCAGCTCATGCACTTTTAGGATACTAATAAAGATGTATACCTGCATACTTTAGGTCTATGTGGTAACTTCTTTCTGAAGAGCACCAGGTACCTTCAAGAATATGATCAATTGTCTTTGCAATGTCTTCAAAAGATATGAGGGGGGAATTAAGGGGGAACTGAGGAACAGAGAGAGTTCAGTAAAGTGATGTGCTACAGTCACCAAAGTGATGCAGTATGATTTAAACCAGGGTCTCCTGATCCTCTATTCAATTTTCTTGACCTTCAACCTAGTTAGTTCTATCTTCACTGAGCTTACCAGGTAAAGAATGTTTATTAATCAGCATAACTTCCTTATTTGTGTTAGCTTTACTCATACAGGCTGAGAAAGATGTTTTAGCTCCCCAGATCCGGCAATGTCATTCATTATAGAGTAAGTCAACACTGCTTAGTGGGTAATGCAGCCATTCGACCACACTGCCCAAGTGCTTAAATGAATGCTGCTTACACCTCTGGTGAAGCAGAATTCTACTTCTTGGTTAATCAGCTACTAGGAAAAACCAACCCTGGGAACACCAGAAGCATCTGGAAAAGCAACAAATTCATATATTCCAAAGTCATCCAGAGCGTCTTCATGGCCTGAAATGGAAAACAAATACTATTTACAAGCCAAATGTCTTGATTTGCTATTGTTGTTTTTAAAAACATTTGCAAAACTTATCTTTATTGTCTGCTTTAAGTGGTATGTGTACAAAACCAATTTCACATTTCCTAATCCCCTATAGTAATATTGCCATTGAAAAGTGTTAGAAATCACTCCTTCTGAACCTGAGAATTGAAACAAAATTAGAACAGTTATTCTTAAAGCCTGATGTGGGAACAGTCTCATATATTCAAATACACACATGTGGGCAGGGTTGTCCTTTGCAACCTGCAGTTACTGGAGACTCATGGACACTGAGGCTTCAGCCTGGAGGTCACAGCAGCCCTTGATCCACTCATATTTCCTGCACCCTGCTAGATCTAACAGATACCACCAGAACTAACAAGAATAAATAACTGTAGCTTCCCATACATACAAAATATAATACAATATAATCTGTAAAATGACAGGGGTGGAGGTGGTTGGGAGGAACCAAATGGTCTCTGCGGCCCTTCCCAGCTCTGACATTCTATCATCTGCAACTGAGGGAGGGCTCGGTAAGAGGGAGAAAAGAGGAATTTATTAATCATCAGGTGTCATATTAGGAACTCCACATACATAATTTTATTTAATTCTTATAGCAACTCTAGGAAGTTTTCATACCTATTATATAGGTGAGGAAGTTGAGGTCAAGGAAAATAATTAATTTTCCCAAGGTGACATAGGGGGAAAGTGGCATATATGGAACTGAAACCTGGCTCCCTGTAACTCCAAGGCCTAAGCAAATATCCATTGTTAACTTATAACGACGCAGTTCAGAGTCAATGGTGATGGCAATGAGGGTCACACTGAGAACAAAGAAGTAGCACTGGCCCCTGTCAAATCTTCATTTCCTCTTCTCTCTGGGATGAAACTGCCAGCATTTTATCTACTTTAGGAATTAATGAAGTGAAAGAACACTTTGACATTTTCAAAATAATAATAATACTAGGATCAATGGACTAGGATTCAGTAGAACTCAGTGACTGTGGCAAGTGACTTCATCTCTCTGACCTTAGTTCTCTTGCCTGTAAAAGGGAATTAAGAGTGCCTTCCAGGCTTGTCTTACAGACTTGTGTCATTTACATAAAACCAATACAAGGGAAAGCACTTTGTAAAGTTAAGGCACTATTTAAAGGTAAGGATTGCTAGTATTGAATTAATATAGCTTATATTAATTCTATTACATTAACAGTATATTATATATAATAACTAATATCAGCAATATTAATTAATGTACATTAACATTGATAATAGCCCTTTTCAGCCTGGACATTACCTGAAAATGTTTGTGTTTTCCTGTATTCTGGTTCTGGCCTGAAAGGATAAATAGGTATTTCTATCATGGATAATAATGGAGGAAAAAGCATTCAAGGAAAGAATTATTTTCATAGAAACATATGCATTACCTGCCTTCTAGCTTCTGTTTTATAACTAAAACCGAGAGAGAGAAAAAGAAACAAAGTAAGGTACTTTTCAATACATATATAAAACTTAAAAAATTTTTTTTCTAATTTTAACTTACCTTTGTAGGGTTGATATTTTTTCCATAGGAAGAGAAGACCCATGGATATAATAAAAAATAGAGATATCCCAGTTATAATTGCTAAAGGGGACAATGATTTCCCTTTTTGTGCAAGCTTTTCCAGTCCTACATAAAAAGACAAATATATTTTTAGTAATAAATTAGTATATAATTTGAATTCTTTAAGATTTATCTTAAGTGAGACACAATTGCAAATATATATATGCATGTATATACACATAGAGAGAGAGAGAGAGACCAAATGGAAGGACTGCACTTATTTTAGAACATACACTAAACTCCCTAGGGATATTTGTGATTGGAAATGTGTGAACTGCCCAGGATAATACTGATATGTTGTACTAGTTGTAGCAAATAGCTCATGTCATACTTCTTAATTGTGTTTGCCACCTTAACTTAGATCTGTTTCATCTCATTGTCTCTACATCCCCAGATGCTAGGTTGTTTTCTCTCTCTCCTTTCATCTCACTCTTTTAGCATAATCCAAGTATGCGAATTTTCTAGGGAGGTGGTGTGTGATTAAAGTTGCTAGAGGGAAGGTGTTTATTTCAAATATACTTTATTGATTTTTGACCAATAAAGAAATGTCAATTCCTAAAATAGGAAACGTATGATTTTCAATAAAACTGAGTCCCATGTTGTGATTATAATTCATTTTGTTTTATATGTTATTCCCTTTGTTAATATCACCATATAAAATATGGTGCAAATAGTTAACATCTACTTAGTGCTTACAATACGTTAGGCTCTGTTCTGACTGGCCGCACCGCGCTCAGCCAGTGAGTGCACCAATCATCCCTATATAGGATCCGAACCCGCAGCGGGAGCGCTACTGCACTCCCAGCGCCGCACCCTCCCGAGTGTGCCACAGACTCGGCCCATTAGGCTCTGTTCTAAGGGCGCATGAGACATATTAACTCCTTGAATCTTCACAACAGTCTTATTAGGGAGATATTATTTTCTCATCCTTTCTTGCAGATGAGGAATCTGAGGCTTGCCCAAGGTCACTCATGTTACAAGTGGTGAAGTCCAGCTGTGACCCTTGGTTCTTAACACTTTATGCTGCTTCCCTTTAATGCTATTTTAACACAATTTATTAACCACGGCTATGATAGTACAGCTCCAGACTCTAACATGTTTAGTCATACAGTTAATCTATACAGTAGGAAGGAGTTGGCCTCCAACAAATTCGAGTAACAGATGTCTTCCATATTATCATGTGAATCAGGTATCCATGTGGAAACGAATCATGGCAGGTTGCCTGTCTCTGTCAAGATGAATGTGGAGTGGAAGTCCTGTGATGCCACTTGCACTCCACAGTGGTGGTGAACAGCCTGGAGAACCTGGGTGTGGTGAAGAGCACGGTGGCCACTCAGCTGCACAATAAACACCCAGCCTGCACGCTGTCCTCCTCCACATAAATCCTCTGCTGAGGTCTCCAGCAGCTAACATAAGCAGGAAGCCAGAATCTTTTCTTTTTCTCAGTATGGACCTACATATACTCTCTTGGCTTTTCCACCTAGAATACTTTCATTTTTTAATCTTTGAAGAATCTTTTCATAATGAAGTATAGATCACATATGCCAAACTCTAATAAGTAAGTCATAGAAATTATGCTATCTTTTCTAATTTTCTCATACAACGCTGTTCCCCTTACGTTCTCAGGAGTTAAACAAGGTTGTTTTTCATTATCAAAAATCTTTACCATCTCTGATGGGAAGTTTATACATTTCTAATATTTATTTAGGGAATTGAGTTCTTAAAGTATTCTTCTATGGAATTATAATAGCTGTGTGGTGTGACATTTATTGTCTTTAAACAGATTTTAAACTCTTTTAAACTTGGATGGAAGAAATAAATGCAAGGTAGTTGAAAATGAACTAGAATAATAATTTACTGGTTTTAAATCTAGACTAGAACATGACAATTTAGTAGACCAGATTTTTTCCTCCTTTTCTCTTTGTCATTAAGTTGTAGAATAATTCATATTCTCCCACTGTTAGTTGACTTTTTAATTTTTCACTGCTTTAGCACTTGGGTGATCTCTTAGTGAAGTCTTAATCAGCCTTTTTTTGAATATTGTTCTCCTGCTTCACAGGTTTGTTCTCTCTAAAGAGTTGTGCAATTTTGAGCGAGCCACTTGACTCTTAGGGTTTTGATTTTCACACTAATAAAATGAGGAGGTGAGAGTGATTGGCCTTTGTGTTCTCTTCTTGCTCTGATTATGTCAATAGGACAGTGTATCTAGTGGCATGCTAATAACTCAGTCTCAAAAAAAATTGCCTGGACATATATACATGCATAAGTTATAAATTTTACTGATATAAAGGATGTAAAGCACATAACTTGCAAATAACAATGTAATATGCAATACCCTTTATTGTTAATTTCATACAGCTAATCAATTCTTACAGAGTGCTTTTGTTGATTTTGCTGAGCTCTTGTATCTATAGTCAACCTATGGGTGAAACTCAATCATGTTTTGACAAAATTAGTCTTTAAGCAAATGCTTGATTACTATCCAATTCAGCAAAGAAATTGCTTACATCACTGATGAACAAGTGTAGTTTCAACATGAATGTTGGCTGATATTTAATAAGATTAAAATGAATCAATAATGACATACTTGGAACTTCATTCATAAGTGACGTGAACGACTTTTTTGCTGAACTGAATAGTAGTTTTTGAATACCGGAAGAATATTTTCTCAATTTTGGTATTATAAGGTTGCATTCCAACCAACTGAGCTAACTGGCCAGCACCCTTATTTTCTCAATTTTTTTGGTGTCTTATATATAATGTAATGTCTACAGACACAACATACTTTGAAGTATAATTTGCATTATTATTTTCTCCACCATTTTCTTAAGTTTAGACAAACTAATTATAGAGCAACATTCTCTGAGTTTTGAAAAGTAGTATTTTCAGTATCAATTAAAAAACATTTTTTTGCTTTTTTTTTTTCTGTGTTTTTGGGGGGTGGCTGGCTGGTACAGGGATTGACCCTTGGTGTTATCGGCACCAAGTTCTGACCAACTGAGCTAACCAGCCAGCCCTAAACATATTTTCTGATTTTCACTGAAATTTCTTATTTGACCTATAGGTTATTTAGAAGGGTGTTACTTTTGTTAAGCTTGGGAGTTTTCTAGTTTTCTTCCTGTTATTGATTTTTAGTTTAACACCATTCTTGTTAGAGGGCAATCCTTTGAAATTTGTTTTTTTTTTTTTTCAATGTCCACACGAATGGTCATATGAAAAGAGGGTGTGTTCTGCAGTTGTTGAATGTAGTATACTGTTTCAATTAGGTCCAATTGTTTTCCTCTATTTCTGCTAAGTTTTTTGTCTGTTTGTTTCATCAGTTACTGAGAGGGATATTTTAAAATCTCCCACTTTGTGGATTTTTCCATTTTCATTTGTCAATTTTTGCTACTTACTAGGTGTACTTTGAAGCTATGCCATTAGGTGCATACACATTTAGAATTTTTATATCTTTCTGCTGGATAGACCACTTTACCCTTATGAAATGTCCACTTTTTATGTGAAGTAATGCTTCTTATCTTAAATAATTTAATCTAATTTTTATATAAGTTATCTGATATTAGTATAGCTACACTAGCTTTCTTCTGGCTGTTTGTATGGTTTATTTGTTCATACTTCTATTTTCAACCTCTCAGCATCCTTATATATGAGATGTGTTTTTTGTAAGAAGCAAATCGTATTTTTTTAATCCAGTTTGACAATATTTGCCTTATAGTTGGACTATTTAGTCCATCGACACTTAATGTAATTACTAATATATTTCTGTTTAGATCTATAATCTTATTTTTTCCATATTTCCTACCTTTTTATTTCTCTTTCTCTCCTTTGTTGTTTTAATTTGGATTAATCAGGATTTTATTTTATTCCTCTTTTCTTCTCTATTTGCTTGTTAGTTACACATTTTTATTTGTCTCTTAGACTTTAGAGATTTAAAACATTTTTTGACTAAAATTAATACTTTTACTACTTACTGCTTCCATCCACTTCTGCAATGCAAGAATAAATTCCATATTAAAGACAGGAAATCTAAGACTCCAGGACTCAAATTTGAATTTAATAACATCTGACTACAATTCTATGTTCTTTCTACCACTTCTGCCTGACCATTATACAAGAAACAGAAATCCTTCCCCCAAATTAAGCCCAAATCTACTTGGTTCTACCAATTTGAGCTACAACAAATAAATCAAATACTTCCTCTATATAATGCCATCTCAATTGTTTGATGAAACTCCCACATCTCCCCTAAGGATTCTCTTCTTCAGATTCAACATCCCCAGATCATTTTGTTACTCTTTATAGGTCTGGTTTTCAGATTCTCTACCATCCTAGAGGTGCAATTTTGGAAGCTCAACAAAAGTTATATGGTTTCACTCCTAAAATATAAATTCAGAAGGACCCATACTTTGTTTTGGTTGTCAATAAGGCAAAGGCAAATAGAGTGCTTTCTCAGATACCAGTAGTGATAAAAAAAAAAAAAAGAAGAAAAACTGGTAAGAAGTAAATAATTAAACTTGATAATAATTAATAAAGAAGAAAAAATTGATCAGAATACCAAATAATAGAATGGCAAGATTTAAGATATATTACATGATTTGGGCATCACTTTTAGCAAGTGAATTCTCTATTTCGTCATTTTGGATCTGAAATTAAAATAAAAACTAGCTAAGAAAAATTTCAGATAATGCACAATTAAATATATGAACATTATGTGTATATAAAAACAAATGTGCATTTGTTTCCTATTTACTTGGTATAGATGAGTCTTATCAGTAATAATGAAAATAATTAAAAAATTACGACACCATTTATAGGTACAGATAAAGAAATAGTCTCAGAGAAACTAAAATATTTGCCACAGTAAGCCCTAGAATTCAGATTGGAACATAGCTTTTTTTTCTGACTGCAGGTTCAATTTTTTCCCCACTAATCTGTGGTCAAAGAATGGTTTTTGCAATTGGCAGGTAGGCACCTATACATCAATTTTTCCTCTAACCTTTTCTAGAACCAGATTTCATGTGCTTCAGCTCTTCACTTCTTGACAGCCAGACTGCCTTCACCAAAAT